TTCTTCATGTGTTCAATACTTTTTCCCTGTGCCATTCCACATTATTACAAATAACTTCATTTCTGGACTTGTGTCATTACATTAAGTGTTTGCTTAATGTATTCCCTAATGGTCTACAACATCACAAAGAGTGCCGACTGTATGTATATTTTTAATACATCAATGGTGCCATTTTCGTGAACAATGTTGCAGATGATGCATGTTTTTGTGTTTAACCTCTGTGACACTGTTCACACTTGGACTTGTGATTCTGTGCCTCATCACAGATTGTGACAACAGCTACAGAAGCTGTAAATTCACCACCAACATCMTTTATCAAATCTCAACAAGTCGTTTTTTGAACCAGTTAACTTATTAAGTCTTTTAAATAAGGCCATTAGTGGGACATTTCCTCTGTGGTGGAATCCATTCTGGGCGTGCTGCTGCTGATGCAACAGCAGGTGATGTGGCATAACTCTGCTTTTTCTTGAAGGAGGGTCTAATGGTACTTTCCTGTTTTTCAGTGGTTCAGTGGACAAATTATAGCAATTACCCTCTCACCACTGATTACTTTCAAACTAAAAAAAAACAAACAAAAAAATAAATAAATAACACATAATGCGACGTGACATGAATGTCATTTGTAATTCAACACATCACAGAAATGTAGAGGAGTAGAAAGTACGATACTTAATGTAAAATGTAGTGAAGTAAAAGTCAAAAGTACCCATGATGAAATCTACTTAAGTAAAGTACAGATACATAAAAAATCTACTTAAGTACAGCAACAAAGTACTTGTACTTTGTTACATCCCACCACTGGCCGACCACATACAGCAGTGATGGCTGAGTTGAACTCAGAGGTGATGACATGGAGCACTAAGTATAAAATGTGTGTGTCGCACATTTTACAACCTGCTGGTCACACAGATTCTGTCATCATTACATCAAGCCACAATGTCAATTTACCCCYCTCATAAATCAGCCGTTACAAGTATGTTATTTCCTCCCATAGTGGCTCAGAGGCAGAACGGCAGTGGGTTGTCTTAAACCCCCTCAGTCCTCACTTAAATTAAAGGATATTGTTAAAGGGGCTATAAAGCTACATCCCCAATTCCAAAGAAGTTGGGACATTGAGTAAAACATTTATAAAAACAGAATATGTTGATTTGAAAATCTTTTTCAGAGAATCTGGACAAAGGTCTGCAAGTAAGCAGCAAGGCTGAATGTTTGTGACCTTTGACCCCTCAGGCAGCACTGCATTAAAAACCCACATCGTTCTGTAACAGAATGGAATCAGGAAAACTTCAGAAAACCATTGTCAGTGACCACAGTACATCTCTACATCTACAAGTTAAAGCTCTATCGTACAAAGACAAAGCCAGATATCAACACCACCACCAGCTTCTCTGGACCTGAGCTCATCTGAGATGGACCGACTCAAAGTGGAAAAGTGTCCTGTGGTCTGATGAGTCCACACTTCTAATTGCTTGTGGAAATCATGGACGTGGTGTCCTCTGGGACATAARAGGAAAAGGCCTCTGGATTGTAGCAGCACAGAGGTCAAAAGCCAGCCTCTCTGATGGTATGGGGTTGTATTAGTGGCCATGACACGGGTAACTGTCACATCTGTCAAGGCTCCGTTAATGCTGAAAGCTACATCCAGGTTTTGGAGCAACTTATGCTGACATCCATCTTTTTCAGCGACATCCTGCTGATTTCAGCAAGACAAAGAAGACACATTCTGCACGTGTTCCAACAGCGTGACTTCACAGTAAGAGAGTGTGGGCTGGCCTGCAGTCCACACCTGTCTCCCATTGAAAATGTGTGGAGCATTATGAAGCACAAAATACAACAGAGACCCTGGACTGTTGAGCAAGAGAAGTTGTTCATCAAGTAAGAATGAAAGAATTCCAGCTACAACGCTTCAGCATTTAGTGTCGTCCATTCACAAACACTTGTTAAAAGGAAAGTTGCTGGAACACAGAGGGAAACATGACCCTGTCCAGCTTTTATGATATTTACAAATCCTCATATACTGTGTTTTTTGTTTTACACAATGTCACAAGTTCATTGGTAATGGGGTTGTGTAGTGTGCCATTGATGTGACTAGTTTGCATTGAATCCCACTGAGTTAGTATTTATAACAGGTTTGTGTAACTGAACACGACATTCAGTCATGACAGGACATGACGTCCTGATTTTTTGACACAATTAGAGGTACATTGCAGTTTCAATAAACAACATTCATGAAGGACTCTTTAACACGTCTCAAACTTTAATGGGATTTACAGAAGCTGGTGGTCTTATCACACAACATTTTCTTCTCTGAGAGTTGGGGGTCTTGAATGGTCTCAATCCCTTTTCAGGCATCTGAAACCTTCTGTTGTTAGGTTTTGTAGCTTTATCACCACAGACTTATTGCGATTTGCTTTTGCTTGTTTTGCTGTTTTATGGAAAATTATTTATTGTAATTCGAAGCTGCATGCATTGTTTATACAGTATTTGTAAAATAAAATGTGCATGCAAGTATTTGGGGTAAAGACCTTCAGTCACCCTCGGTGCAACTCCACACCTGCTGCTGTGCCCAGAGTGCGTCACGCCCTCGTGAGCTGAGGATCTTCTCACCCCATTAGTAAAAGAAGGATGAAAGTAATAACTGATTCTGGGCTGCACCCCACCACACTATTAGTTACATACATTTTGTTTACTACCTCCCACTCCTGCCAGTGGGGCAAAAATAAATATGTGCCACAGCCTGACTGCAGGTTTTAAAGTGCTGCAGGCTTGTTAAAGCCAAGTGTACTGGTAGACCAAGAAAGACATCAAAGAGTCAAGACAAACAACTTAAGGCCATTTGTCTTGAAAACCGAAAAAGTACAACTAAACAGATGAAGCATAAATGGGAGGAAGCTGGAGCCAATGTATGTGACCGAACTGTAAGAAATACCCTAAAGGAAATGGGATTTCAATACAGGAAAGCTAAAAAAAAAAAAAAACTATCATTGACACCTAAACAAAAAAGAACAAGACTGCAATGGGCTAAGGAGAGGCAATCATGGACTGTGGATGACTGGATGAAAGTTATCTTCAGTGCTGAGTCAAGAATCTGCATTGGACAAGGTGATGATGCTGGAGCTTTTGTTTGGTGCCATTCCAGTGAGATTTATGAAGAGGACTGCCTGAAGAAAACAACCAAATTTTCACAGTCCTTGATGATATGGGGCTGCATGTCAGGYAAAGGCACTGGGGAGATGACTGTGGTTAATTCTTCTATCAATGCACAAGTTTACATTGACATTTTGAACAGTTTTCTCATCCCTTCAATTGAACAGACGTTTGGAGGCGATGCAATCATTTTCCAAGATGACAGTGCATCGTGCCATAGAGCAAAAACAGTGAAGGCATTCCTTGGAGAAAGACACATTCAGTCGATGTCATGACCTTGCAAATAGTCCAGATCTCAACCCAATTGAAAACATGTGGTGGAAATTGAAAGAAATGGTCCACAAGAAGGCTCTGACCTGCAAAGCTGATCTGGCAACTGCTATCAAAGAGAGTTGGCACCAAGTTGATGTTTGTTGACTGTTTGTCGCTCATCAAGTCCATGTCCCAGAGACTGCAAGCTGTTATAAAAGCCAAAGGTGGTGCAACTAAATACTAGTGATGTATTTTGAATGGTCTTTTGTTGATCTGCTTTTCATGATTCCATACTTCTTTCCTCAGAATTGAGTGATTCCATATTTTTTCCCTTGTGCTTGGTCAATAAAAGTAACATTCACTGAATTCCACAATGTTTTCTCTTCATTTCTTTGAGTGTTCCTGAAAGCCAACAAGTTGCACTTTGGAATGACCTTATTATTGTATCATGTTTTTGATATGAGTTTGTTTTACAGAATGAAATGTCTGAATGAGTGCTCATCCAAGACTGGTGATTCCATACTTTTTGCCAGGGGTTGTACACTTCAGTTTTGTGAGCTCATCATAATATAAACAGGTTGTGATTTGTAGAAATTGGCTGTGTAGAAAGGTGGCCAAATGGTTTGCTTGTCATTTGTTTGCAAATACTCAGAATAAATGTAATTCTTGCCATTTAGAACTGGCAACTAGTTACCAACAGTCACAAGTGAGATACTGGTTTTAGTCACAAAGTGATGTCTCAGTCTGATGGCACATTTATTGTCTTTTGTCTTTTTGTTTCCAGACTGTCAGAACTAATGAGCATCCAAACCCTCTCAGAGTTGTCTGACATTTGTACCACTTTCTGACTCTCAGTTCAGTCTGGTTCAGGAAGCCCACCATGAACACTAACTAACCCGTGAGAACTTGTTGAAGCCATTTAAAATTCCAGGAACTTGAAATGTGAAGAAAATGAAAACCCTTAAACATTTTGGAAACAATGAAATTGCCATTGACAGTTTGTTGCCAAAAGTCACAACCCAGCGAGTGACTGGCCTCAAACTTTTAGACCATCCAGTCAGAGTAATTTTTTWAATTAACATAACAACTGTCTGTGTGTTAGGCACCCGGGAGGCAGCCTTTGTGTATGCCATCTCAGCAGCCAGTGTGGCTTTCGCGGTCACAAGAGCCTGCAGCAGTGGAGAGCTGGAAAAATGTGGCTGTGACCACAACGTACATGGAGTCAGTCCAGAGGGTAGGTCTCTGCTTTACTTTGACACAAAGCTAAACACACTGGATGGAAACACAAAGATTTACTTTATATTAAAAAACAAATCTAAGTACTCACGGTTAGGCAGCAGTGACTTTTTACCTTTTCCACTTTATCCTGAGCAAGATTTATGAAGTAATTACTGATAAGAGTGAAACTGTTTCTTTTAGGGTTCCAGTGGTCTGGCTGCAGTGATAACATTGCATATGGAGTTGCCTTCTCTCAGTCTTTTGTGGATGTAAGAGAAAGAAGTAAGGGCCAGTCATCCAGTCGTGCACTCATGAACCTGCACAACAATGAGGCTGGAAGAAAGGTAACTCACTGCACCTGCTGCTAAAACTAAATGACTCACTGATATGTTGCTTGCTTCTGATTCACCTGGTCATGTGACTCACAGCATCGGCTTATTGAACAACATAATGAAAAAGAAAGAAGTTATGTGAACATAACTCGACTGCAGTGAGCTGTTGCTGTTAGTAGTTAGTAACTGCTTCAGTAAGAAAGTAAGTCCTGGAGGGGTCGGAACCGGGTCTGTAGCGGGACAGATGGGGACACCCCTCTAGAACAAAGATGTGCCCGTGTTGGCTACATGGGGGAGGCCGGTGAGTCAGGCTAGCTCTACCCCTCAGTGTTTGCAATGAAGCCCCCAGTGTGCATTACCCAGGTTATTTAGTTGTGAAAAACACAGCTGCCCATCTTTGAATCAATACCTCTTGACGTGAATATGTCACCCCGTTTTATCCTCTTTACATTGGCGTCCTTTCCAATTTAGAATTGATTTTAAAAGTTTATTGTTTGTTGTTAAATCTACTACGGAGCCCATCAGGTGACATGAAATAAAAAATAATAAATTAACACATGGCCACATGATAATTAAAGCGTGGCCGTGAGATAATTTACGCATGCCCACGAGATCATTAACACATGCCCACGAGACAATTAAAGCATGCCCATAAGAAAATTAACTCATGCCCACGAGATAATTAGATTGTGCCCAAGAGATATTTAACGCCTGCCCGTGAAATAATTAATGTGTCATGAGATAATTAACATGTACCCACTAGATAAATAACACGTGGCCACAAGATAATTAAAGCGTGCCCACGAGATAATTACCACGTGGCCACGAGATAATTAAAGCATGCCCACGATAATTAATGCATGCCCATGAGATAATTAACGCGTGCCCATGAGTTAATTAACGCGTGCCCATGACATAAATAAAGCGTGCCCATGAGATAATTAACGAGTGCCCATGAGGTAATTAACGCGTGCCCACGAGATAATTAAAGCGTGCCCATGAGATAATTAAAGCATGCCCATGAGATAATTAAAGCGTGCCCACGAGATAATTACCACGTGGCCACGAGATAATTAAAGCATGCCCATGAGATAATTAACGCGTGCCCATGAGATAATTAACGCGTGCCCACGACATAAATAAAGCGTGCCCATGAGATAATTAACGAGTGCCCATGAGGTAATTAACGCGTGCCCACGAGATAATTAAAGCGTGCCCATGAGATAATTAACGCATGCCCACGAGATAATTAAAGCATGCCCATGAGATAATTAATGCATGCCCAGGAGATAATTAACGAGTGCCCATGAGATAATTTACGCGTGCCCATGAGGTAATTAACGCGTGCCCATGAGATAATTAACGYATGCCCATGAGATAATTAATGCGTGCCCATGAGATAAGCGTGCCCATGAGATAATTAACGCGTGCCCATGAGATAATTAAAGCGTGCCCATGAGATAATTAAAGCGTGCCCACGAGATAATTAAAGCATGCCCATGAGATCATTAAAGCGTGGATAATTAATGCGTGCCCATGAGATAATTGAAGCGTGCCCATGAGATCATTAAAGCATGCCCATAAGATAATTAAATGGTGCCCACGAGACAAATAATGTGTGCCCACAAGATAATTAAATGGTAAATGGACTGTACTTATGTATAGCACCTTTCTATCCATCCAGGACACTCGAAGGACTTCACACTTCAGACATTAACCCATGCACACACACATTCACACACTGCTGATGGCAAGCTACAATTGTAGCTACAGCTGCCCTGGGGCGCACTGACAGAGGCGAGGCTGCCATACACAGGCGCCACCGGACCCTCTGACCACCATCAGTAGGCAAGGCGGGTATACAAATTGCCTTTGATGAAATGTATTTTCAGATGCCAAGTAAACTGCATCATAGAGCGCGCGCTAAGATACACACCTGATGTGCACACACCTATCTGTGTACACATACCCTAATACCTGCACTCACATAAAGCACATAAATCACATTGACATGTCTGAAAAGGGGTAGGAAGAAGTAAAACTCATTTAATCCTACCCCATTTACAATTTCATCTGATTTTCAGAGTATTATCAGTTTGTGGTGAAAAGAAAAAAACCAAAACAAATAAAAAACATACAATATAAACTAATACATAAGGAATCCAATATTATTCTATTACTAAATTTCAAGTTACAGTATATATACACATCCAGAGAAAATCACGTCCAACTACACACTAATACTTATAC